AGTGCCAGAGGTGCGCTGTGCACCAAGGCTGAAGCGCTGGCTCCCTGCATCAGGAGGGCCCTGAGACGTACGTCGCGTTCCCTCTGTGTCCGACGACGAAAGTTCTTACAGACGCAACAACGCTCCTTCATGTGGGACTCCCCAGGGCACTGCAGACAACTATTGTGAGGGTCACTAACAGGCATAGGCCTGTTACGCATGGAGCAGGGCTTAAAACCCAGAGAATGGGCATGCCCCGCCCAGGGCAAAGCCCCCACCTAACTAACTGAACACTTAACAGCTACTTAACTACTAACTAAGAAACAATAGAAATATTTACAACTGGAAGCACAAGGCTGAAACAGGAAAGAAACCACTGGCCACCTGCAAAGCAAGGGAGAGAGGCACTCTGACTGACCACCACGGGTGGTAAGAAGGAACTGAGAGGGTGCAGGGCCGGCAGCGCTTGATATATTGTGGCATGAGCGCGGCACTCCAGGGGGTGCCACAGCTGGCCCTACGGATACCACTAAGGCAAAAATCTCTGACAGCCGTGTATGTGGGTGTGCACACACCTAGAATGGAATTGACATGAGCAAGCACTCAAAGAAGAAGCAGCGGTGCAGGGAGAGCCTCGGGGATCAAGTTACCAGCAACTAGAAAGGTGGCAACCCTTTAATATAATGGAAAAGCTCCCAGTGATTTCAATGTGAACAGCACTGGGCCCAAAATGTGATTTACATCCAAAATATTGCTTGGCGTCCTTTATCATTTCCCAGGATTTTGCATATTAATGTCATTTAGCAAAAACCCAGCAAATTGCTAATTGCAGACACATATATTATTCTTACTAATAAAACACACTGTCAGCCAAAGGCATACAGTAGGTATTCGAGGGGGATCAGACACAGGCAGCATTTAATTTGTAATGAAAGATGTGCCAGGGCTCAAATAAGTAGGTGCTAGGGTGCAAGCCCAGAAGTGGCGAGGCTATGAACTACCAAGCCTAAAGGTGCTAGGGCTCAGCCCTAGCACAAATTAAGCACTGGATACAGGGGCAGTGGACTTACCTATCATGGGCCAAATTCTGGCATCACACTGTTCATAAAGACTTTCTAGAGTAGAGGGAGTATGGAATGGAGGTAGTGTACCCTAGTCCAGGCTCCACTTATAAACAGGGAAAAGCTGCTCTGCAGATCTTTCCATGACATGAGCTACTTGGGGCAATCTGGTGCCCAGAGCCATGATCTGTATATTTATTCATGGGTATGCCTGGACTCATGAACAGACTAATTTCCAGAGGACATACATTTATATTGTCTTAGTGGAGAATGGTCCGACAAATGTTACCATTTAAATAAATGGAAACCTATTAGCATAAATGGTGCAGGGTCAAGCTGCATATGTGTATGCCCATCTGTGGTGTACTTAAGTGGCATTTGGTCGATACACAATACAAGATCAGTGGGCAAAAGGGACCAAGTCAAGGATTTTTTAACAGGTTTTTTGTATTTAATATTTAACTGAGGAAAAATATTCTATCCATTAAAAGTTTTGACCAAAAAGAAACATGATCATTTGTATGTGGTATAAATGTATTGCATCCTTCTATGCAACAGATGTAAAGTATTACGTTCAGAAGATTATCTGAGTGCAAACACTTAATAGGGAAATAATTAAATATAAGAAAATTATGCTGGTTTACACACCTTAACATTTACATTTTAAATTCTACAGTACAGAACTCTCTTGCAAACCTCAATTATAGAGAAAAAAAATTGTTAAGTTATACAAAGAACTAGAGAGAGGTGTAATTGTCCCAAAAGAATGATTTTTGTACTATTTGAATTAATCTCTTAAGGGCTCAAACTTGTAGTCTTTACTCTGGCAAAACTCCAACTTGAATTAAATCCAACTTTTGTCTGATTAAGGGGCTGCAGGATGAGATCAGCAATGGGAAAATAGGAGGGTTGTTTGTTTTTTTTTTAATTAAAAACATTTTGTCAAGTGATGAACTGAAAACTTGATTGTTTCTATATTTATGTTTAGAAGTGGACGGATGGTAGTTACGAGTTTCCTACTATCTTTCAGAGATGCATTATCAGATCAAACATTTTAAATTTACAGCAAGCACATTTTCTACAAAACACATTACACGGGGAAAAAATGAATTTCTTAAAAACTACTGCCAAAAAATAATCAAATCATGACATTTTACAAGGAAATAAAAATTGTATGCGTTATTACCATCCCCTTTTTTAATGAACTCAGTTGCACAACCGTTATAAATACTTGATAGAAATTTCATCCCAGAATGGAAAGATCTGTAACTCCTTTAGTAGGAATGCAGAGGAGATGACACTGCATTATATATGATACAAACTAAATGCGTTGCTACACAGATTTATTTTATGAAAGTATACAGAAACACGAGTGTTTTCACAAACACAGATGGATAACTGGTATATACAAAAAGGTAGAAAATGATGACGCAAATTGTGTTCTCAGTTATATCTGTGCAAACCTAACGGATTTAAGCAGCATTGCTAAGGTGGTACTGAGAGCAGAATTCGGTCTCTTGGTATCATCACATAGCACTTTGAGTGTCATTGGTTTGTAAGTTAATTTAGCGTTGCATTAGAAAAGGGAAGACAGTTTCTGTATTTAATGAACAACAGAATGACAAAATAATTCAGTTGTAAACCAGTTTAAATTACCCGGCATAAACATAAACAAAAGGGAGCTGTTTTTAAACAAATCAGAATAAGTACAATGTGGCATGCTGGCATATATCTTGCTCCAAGAGTACTGCTGGAATCTCTGAGATACAGATTTAAAGGTCACTGAATAATGTAACACAGAACACATTGGGCCCCAATTCCCTGATACTCTGTTCCTGCATCAAGTGCAGAAATGAGGTGGGACATGCGTCAAAGGTGTCTATATGAGCTTTTGCATCTCCCTAATTCTGGGCTGTGCTGGGGACATGCCTGGCTGCTGGCACAACTGAGAGCAGACCCCGCATCATTACGTTGGCACAGAATAGCCAGAGTACTATGTGCTCTGGTCATGCATCTTTGCTCCCCTTGCCTGAGCCACTACACTTGCTCTGGACTGGCTAAGAAACACCCCCCCTAACAATCAGGGTATTCTGCAAGGGCCATCTTTGACACTGCCAAAGCAGGACTGGGGCCAGTGTTTCCAAGCTGTGTACAGCTTTGTAATATGAAGTAAGCTTAAACCAGCAATCTTGCTGTCTTTGAGCATGTAATCTCCCTTTTATTTCAATGGAAATTATACATGTTTAAGAGCTACGTGAGTGGAGCTATAACAACCTCAATTTCAGACACATTTTTTTTCAGTTGCATTGAAGAACTCTAGTTAGACTGAAAGACTAGTAAAATGTCTTATCTACAATTCAGAACAGTTTGTCTGAAACCTGCTTAAGGATTAAACCTTATTCTTCCAAGAGGTAACTGATTTCAGTGGGACTTCTTATGTGAGCAAGATACATAGGATTTAAAAGTCTATGCCACTTGGTTTCATGCTATTTAGTGGGATTGCTCGCTATTTGATGATGGCTGAGGTTTTCAAAGATGACTAAGGGGATTGGGCCCTCAATTCCCAAGGACATTCATTGGCATTTGACAGCAAAACTCACTTAGGCCCCTTTGAAAATTCCAGCTTTAGTTCATTTTTAAAAGGGGAAGTTAGGTCTATTTGTGGCTTGATTTTATCATCTGTATGGAGGCAAAATTCCCACTGGCTTTAGTCTTCTCAAGGACAAAGGTTATTTACTGTGTTGTGTTTGATCAAACTTTGTGCAAATTTACAGGAGCTAAAAATGTAGAATATATCATAAGAAGTGGAAAAGGAACGTGTAGTCTAGACCTTCACCTTTATTACAGTGAAATGTAATTTTTCAGTTCTTTCAATTATTCTGTGAAATGCATCAAATTTGAATTGTGGCCTAAAAAATTCTCAAGGTCAAAGTCAGTTCAACTTATAATTATTTTTTTATAGAATCACTCGATTAAAAAAATCAATTTTGAGGGTTTGGGTTAAATAACAGTCATTTAATTCAACCTCACCCTAAGTTAAGGAGAATTTCAAACACCCTATCAAAATGGGGACAGATAAATGATTGGCAATGTCATTAATGCCTCCACTCTGCTTTATGAAAAGGACAACTTTGCAGCTAAAATACTGGGCTAACTCCTCACTCAGTTCTTGCCAGCTAAACTCCCACTGCACCAAATCTTGAAGTCCTCACCCAGCTCTTATTAAAGAAAAACTCCCACTGAAATCAATTGATTTCAAAGGCAGTTGCACATGCTCAATATCTGAAGATTTGGCCCACACATTCAATGGGAATTTTGTTTGAGTAAAAGGTGGGAAAGAATCTCAGGATTTATCCTATTAAAATCTAAATATTAATAGTGTGAGCAAAAGCACAGGGACTTTAAAGGGAGTCTTTCCCTTGGCTTGAGTGAGATTTGGACCAGGCCTTAAAAAATTATATATTGGAAAATGTTACATTTGCCATTTTTATTTAAAAAGCCCATCCAGTGCTAATTTTGTGTTGATTTTGTGCATCTGGGGTTTGATCCTGCAAGGTACTGAGTGGGATTTGGGAATACTCAGCAATATGCAGGATCTGACCAGTAAGGGTCCGATCCCAATCACCTGCAACTCCCATTGACATAAATGGGAGTTGTGAGTGCTCAGCATCCCTGAGGATCTATCTCACGTTACACAGCTGATCCATTTGCAGGGTGGAATTAAGAATGCCCTGGATCACCCTTGGTTTGTTTGTACACGGCTCATGATGTTCCTAAAGCACATAAACAAAATTAAAAACATTCAATAAATTAAAATAAAAAAAGCATGTTAAACAAAAACCCCACAGTAATGAAAAGCACATGCCAAGTGCTGGCTGATATGCATGACAGCAAATGTTAAAATGGTTGTAAATAAGACTAATATTAAGAAGCAGATTCATGCAGTTAGCACTTGTTCACCTGACTGCCCAACAGAATCAGCAGTGGAGAGAGCACTAGTGGACCTGGAATGACGTCGAGAAGCTGCAAGTAAAAGGAATGGCAACACCCACAAGATTAACACACAAGTACCCAAGACAGAAAATGCCACAGTCCAAAAGGGATGCACACGATTACTACCAACATGGGTGTTCTATAGTGAAAGGAAATGCCGCCGCGTATGAATGCACAACAAGTACAGTGCAAGCCCCAAGGCAAAATCTCCATCGGCAGCTTCCTCCTTTCCCCACAACCACAAACACAATGTGTGACAAACAAATACATTGTTTTTAAGAATACCAAATTGTGTGCAGTTTAGCAAAGACTGGTGAGTGTCAGTCATATTCCAGAACCACAGAACCTAAAAACAGCTAGTATGAGAATGTGGAACATTTAACCCCGTAACAGGATTTAGATGTGATCAATCTAAATCCCAAAGTGAAGCCAAGAGGAATGATTAGAAATTGTGCTTGAAAATATTTCTCACAATATTCTACTCTATGTACAAGAAACAATGTCAATGACAAGACCAATTTCAGTAGAATGAGTTGTCACAAAAGTGTAAGGAGTCATACCGGGAAATAAATAAGCCACTGAGCACAGCTCTTTTGTTAAATATTTTAGTTTTACACACACACACACTCTCTCTCTCTCTAGCCATTGTGGCTATGACAGCTATATTGTAACATTTTTGCACATAGTTATTGTGTTTATATAAATATATTATATACATACATATATGTATGTGTGCGTAGAGAGTGTAATATATATACACACATACTCAAAATGTTATAGCAACAGACCTTTATATAGTAGCAATGGCTGGAGTTAAGACTGAATTCCACCTTCCATTTTAGCCCCTGATTTTCAGTGGTTCATAACTTCTTTGACAAATTCCTTTAGAGCAGAAGTTTTCCATTCTTAGTTTCAGCACAAAGGTGATTTGTTTTTGAATGTTGGAAAAAATTTTGTTCAGCCGTTTCTGAATTATGCCAGTGTTTTTAAAGAGCTTTTTCCCATATATCTAGCAATGCTGTGCTCATATAACTCAAAAACACATAAATCTAGAAACTCTAAAAGAAAGGCCCAATTCTGTACTCCGCTCATATGAGTAATTCTCAGTCAATACAATAGTTCTACTGAAGGCCTTATTCTTTGATTGTCGCTATTAATACTTGAAGAAAGTTACATTTGAACATGGCTCTTAATTTATAATGCTACATACACATTGTCAATAGTGCACATATATGCACATTACAAGAATTTAAAGGATTTTTTCTATTTAATTGCCAAACATTTGTAAATGTAACATTAAAATTACATACAAAAATGAGAAAGGAAAAAAAAGTTTCTCACAGCAATGGGAACTTGGCCATAAGGTATTCAGGGTGTGCAATGCAGTCTATAAAAATGGAGCCTAAGGCCCTATGCATTTATTCAAGTAAGCACTGATATCAAAAATGACTAATGAAAGTAAGGTTTGCAGGATCAGTAAAGAGTTACATATTAAGCTCCACAAGGCAGACCCTCCTTATACATATACGGATCTTCCTGCAGGATCAGGGCCTAAGAAGAAACAAAGGAATACAAAATACCTATACTTGAGCAATGTGGCCAAGTTAACATTACTGCGGGAACTTTATGTTCCACATTTCCTGATTTAGATCCCAGTCCTGCAAGCTGCTGAGTGCGGGCAGACATTTACACTTGCATACAGCCCCAGTGACATCATGGGGGCCATGTGAAGCCACTTGAAAGATCAGGCTTTTAGTGTGATATGACCAAAACATTAGGTTACCACAGGATTTTTATATTTAGTAGAGTCCAGTGGCATTTAAGTTAATCTTTACAATGTGAGTAAAATGACAGTTGGGACACTTCTCGGAGCACTCAGGACTGAAAGTCACCTTGTTACACCTGCCTCCAGAGTGAGAGAATCTTACCAGTACCCACTAGGTGTTAGCTCCCTAACACAAACAGCCTGTCAGCTACTCAAGCACTCTTCTCTGGGCTATACCAGCCTTGTCTTTGCCTTCCAGGTTGACAACAGATGCAATCCAGCCCCTGAATACTTTTGAAGTGCCTTTCTGTGGTACCCAGCCCACGATCACGGGATACCCAGAGAAATCCCAGATCATCTGTTCCCCAAAGAAAAGTTCACCATCGTTTACCAGTTTCATCTTAGACCATGCTCCTGTAATATGCACAGCACCTGAGTTCAATTATAAAACAAACAAATGTATGTAAGAAAGAATAGAGATTCAAATAAAAACATAAATACACAAGAACAGACCTTTGATGTACACCTCAAGATAGGGTTTCCTCCCCACACCTGCTGCTTACCTCTCCCTGTTAGGGTACTGTCTACACTAGAAACGCTACAGCGGCACAGCTGACGGTGTGCCGCTGTTGTGTAGAAACTTACTACGGTGATGGAAGGGGGTCTTCTGTCACTGTAGTAAATCTATCTCTCCAAGAGGCAGTAGCTAGGTTGATGAAAGAATTCTTCCATTGACCTAAAGGAGTCTACTTTAGGTCAGCTTAACTGCGTCGCACAGGGGTGGGAAGATTTCCATAGCCTTAAGCTATGTAGTTAGTTTAACCTAACTTTGTAGTGTAGACCAGGCCTTAGTTTCCTTCTCAAGTCTCTGCCAGCTCTTCATTATCATTGACTTTGAATGCTATCAGAGTACTATTTTATGACATACAGTACACAATGGTACCCTCTGGAGATAGGGGTGTGGGAGTGGGAGACACCTGTCTGGAGGAGTTGGTCTCAAGATATGTGAGGAGCATATTCTCTGTAGTTGTATCTCACAATGGCTAGGACTACCAGCGTGACATAGCCTTTCAATAGAGTTCTTCCATGACATTATGTTGGTGTACCCCAGAGACCCCTGTATCCCATTGCACCCCAGTGCACTCTGCGAGTTGGCATCAAGAGGTACTTGTGTCACAACACTGTGTTAAAAACACTGTGTTATTTAGTGTTTCCATGAAAACGTTACTGAATTCAGTAAGAATACTCTGGCTGAGTCACATAGTTTTGGCTTAAACTGATGTATGTACACTTCTTTCAGGTAATAATTCCACAGCAGAAAGTTTATGACTTGAGGCACTTATTCCAATTTATGACAGTCATTTCAGTGAAAATACACAAAAGTAGACAAATAAATTGGTTGTACCACAATTGTGCTCGTTTCTTATTGCACTGGAATTTTCTGTCTATTTTTTTCTGTAGTGGTTTCTATAACAAAATTTACTCACTGAAGTGATAATCCCCAGGCTACCACATCCAATGTTACATTTTAAATTAACTATTTTTCATCTATGTAATAAAAGTAATCAAATATAAAGTGAAACAATTTGTATAAATATTTTGTAGTATATAACTTAATAATCAATGTATGGGTCAGATCTTCAGCTGCCATAAATCAGCACAGCGTCACTGAATTCAATGGAACAGGGCCAATCTACAGCAGTTGAGGATCTAGCCCAATGTATTTATCTTTAGATCAAGGACCTGAAGGAAGTATTTCCACCCATATATTTTTGAGGTTTCATCTAACATACTTTCACTAAAAGGAAAACTTATGGCGTACACCAGTACCAACATAACGCCACTGAATGTAATAAGTTGCTGCTGAAACCAGGCATTCTCCATCCAGTAAGTTTATACAAAACAGCAGCATCATCATAATCAAAAAGGCTGACAAAGGAGGTGCTATTGTCATCATGAATAGGTCGGAATATGAACAAGAGGCTGCTCGGCAGCTCTCCAACACCACTTTCTACAAGCCATTACCCTCTGATCCCACTGAGGGTTACCAAAAGAAACTACAGCATTTGCTCAAGAAACTCCCTGAAAAAGCACAAGAACAAATCTGCACAGACACACCCCTGGAACTCTGACCAGGGGTATTCTATCTGCTACCCAAGATCCATAAACCTGGAAATCCTGGACGCCCCATCATCTCAGGCATTGGCACCCTGACAGCAGGATTGTCTGGCTATGTAGACTCCCTCCTCAGGCCCAACGCTACCAGCACTCCCAGCTATCTTCGAGACACCACTGACTTCCTGAGGAAACTACAATCCATCAGTGATCTTCCTGAAAACACCATCCTGGCCACTATGGATGTAGAAGCCCTCTACACCAACATTCCACACAAAGATGGACTACAAGCCGTCAGGAACAATATCCCGGATGATGTCATGGCTAACCTGGTGGCTGAACTTTGTGACTTTGTCCTCACCATAACTATTTCACATTTGGGGACAATGTATACCTTCAAATCAGCAGCACTGCTGTGGGTACCTGCATGGCCCCAGAGTATGCCAACATTTTTATGGCTGACTTAGAACAACGCTTCCTCAGCTCTCGCCCCCTAATGCCCCTGCTCTACTTGCGCTACATCGATGACCTCTTCATCATCTGGACCCATGGAAAAGAAGCCCTTGAGGAATTCCACCATGATTTCAACAATTTCCATCCCACCGTCAACCTCAGCCTGGACCAGTACACACAAGAGATCCACTTCCTGGACACTACGGTGCTAATAAACAATGGTCACATAAACACCACCCTATACCGGAAACCTACTGACCGCTGTACTTACCTACATGTCTCCAGCTTTCATCCAGACCACACCACATGATCCATTGTCTACAGACAAGCTCTACGATACAACCACATTTGCTCCAACCCCTCAGACAGAGACAAACACCTACAGGATCTCTATCAAGCGTTCTTACAACAATACCCACCTGCTGAAGTGAAGAAACAGATTGACAGAGCCAGAAGAGTACCCAGAAGTCACCTACTACAGGGCAGGCCCAACAAAGAAAATAACAGAACGCCACTAGCCATCACCTTCAACTCCCAACTAAAACCTCTCCAACGCATCATCAAGGATCTACAACCTATCCTGAAGGATGACCCATCACTCTCACAGATCTTGGGAGACAGGCCAGTCCTTGCTTATGGACAGCCCCCCAACCTGAAGCAAATACTCACCAGCAACCACACACCACACAACAAAAACACTAACCCAGGAACCTATCCTTGCAACAAAGCCCGTTGCCAACTGTCCACATATCTATTCAGGGGCCTAATCACATCAGCCACACTATCAGAGGCTTCAGAGGAACAGCCGTGTTAGTCTGTAAGGAGCTTGGCCCCTCGGCCTACCCATTTTATTTGAGCCTGAGCATGAGCTACAGCTCACTTCATCAGATGTTTACCGTGGATGAAGTGAGCTGCCCACCCCCCAAAACCCCCACTCACAAAAATTGGGTTGTCTCTAAAGGGCCCCAAGAGCCCCTTTTCTTTTTATCAGAGGCTTGTTCACCTGCACATCTACCAATGTGATATATGCCATCATGTGCCAGCAATGCCCCTCTGCCATGTACATTGGCCAAACTGGACAGTCTCTACGTAAAAGAATAAATGGACACAAATCAGACGTCAAGAATTGTAACATTCAAAAACTAGTCGGAGAACACTTCCATCTCTTTGGTCACTCGATTACACACCTAAAAGTGGCAATTCTTCAACAAAAAAACTTCAAAAACAGACTCCAGCGAGAGACTGCTGAATTGGAATTAATTTGCAAACTGGATACAATTAACTTAGGCTTGAATAAAGACTGGGAGTGGATGTGTCATTACACAAAGTAAAACTATTTCCCCTTGTTTATTTCCCCTCCAAACAAACAAAGCTTTTGTACAACAGGTGATGTATTCTGTTGGATATGAAATGACATTTGGTCAGAAACTGTTCTTGTAAACTGCTGGAAATGGCCCACCTTGATTATAACTACAAAAGGTTCCCCTCTCCCCTGCTCTCCTGCTGGTAATAGCTCACCTTTCCTGATCACTCTTGTTACAGTCTTTACGGTAACACCCATTGTTTCAAGTTCTCTGTGTATATAAAATCTCCCCACTGTATTTTCCACTGTATGCATCCGATGAAGTGAGCTATAGCTCACGAAAGCTTCTGCTCAAATAAATTTGTTAGTCTCTATGGTGCCACAAGTCCTCCTTTTCTTTTTATAATTGACCTTAGAAACAGAACTACAAAAGTAGTATCTACTGCGCTGCTTATTTATTATCTCTCACTGGCTCCAATATCAAATTGGCTCCATTTATAAATCAAAAGGTGATCCCTTCTATCTGCTAGCCCCATAAACTCAGCATGGCCTCTGATTATTAAGCTGGCATCTGCCACTTCTCACCAGCAATTAAGATTCTGTAGACAGAACAGAGCTGGTGATTTTGTGGTAGTCTCCTGAGTCAGATCAGGAAACCATCTCATTCTTCAGTTGCTGCTAGCAAAGCAAAAACCTTGCCGTGCACAGTAAAGCAAGTAGACACTTTCCCTTTGGCCAAACTCATAAAATCGCATGGCTATCAATGGGAGTTTGATGAGCACACCACCAGGATACTATTTAACCCAATGGGGGCAGAAGTGAATAAGAAGGTGGCAATTTTATGCAGTTGTTTTATTTTGAATACAATAACCACACACATTTAATATGACATTTTTCATTCAGATCAACCCCCACCTCCAAATAAAACACTGCATTTCAATGTATGCCTGTATATTTTCACTAGCACCAACACCTTCTCACAACTGGATATGTATGATCATACCAGCAGTTACTTTATAGAATGCCAACCAAGGGGCCCTCTTCATAAACACACTGGTGTAGTATAGGATAGCTTTGTGTGTCCAATTATCTTCAAATATTGATAAAACTTCAAAATTTGATAAATATCTGAGCAATGTGTGGCCAAATACTTACTGTGCATCAGAACCTACTTGAAATATGAATACAGAGATACTAACTCACTACTTCAGTTTCTTTTTCAAAATCTTTTGTGGTAATGTAATTTATTCTGGGTAAAGCACATTATTCAAAACAGAAGTAGCTGTGATCTGAACATAGGGGTCCGAGAAAGGTCAGATTCATGATGCAGTGCCAGAAAATGGCATCAACAAGGATATCCATGCTGATGCCTTAAGAACTACTGTTTGCTCATCCTGTATGTAGAAATCACTGAAAACTCCCTGCGATAGTTCAAAGGTCACATTCTAGATCTACAGATCAAGATGAGAAAAAAACCCAAACAACAGAAATGTTGTGAGGAAGGTCACCAAACACACAGGCTCCAATTCTGACCTCAGCTACGGGGCACATGTTCTTATTGGTCTGATCCAAAGCCCAGTAAAGACAACAGAAATCTTTCCATTGACTTAGTTTAATGTGCTTTGATCAGACCCTATCTCAACAACAGTTCTGTGTGTTATCTGCAATCTTGATCTCACAGCTTGGCTTGAGAGTGATTTTCAAATAATTTGATTTAAATATTTACATTCTCTCCCTGCTCCCCTCATTTTTAATAATGTGCATGTAGTACCATTGACTTCAACAAGACTACTAACCCTGACTGAGGATTGCAGGACTTGGTCCATTTCTTTCAGGGTAAATTTCATCCATAATTATTTCAGATCTAAATCAGTTTTGTAAAGAGATGTTCAAAAAAAAAAAAAAAAAAAAAAAGGGGAAAGGTTTTCACAGTTCCCCTTTCAAACTCAATTTTTTTTTACCTACATTATCTAATGAAAAAAAGTCCAAAGTATTGGGATGGGATCCTCAAGTATCCCAGTTCACATTAACATTTTGACTAGTTAGCAAAGTATCAGGGGAAAGCATGAGAGGGGGAAAAAAATTTCCTAATGAAGCCTCTTATGGAATACCCTTTTTCAGATTAAGCTAAGGGTTCCAGTCTACTTCCATTAAAGTCCATGAGAATTTTGGCATTGATTTCAAATGGGAGCAGAAGCATCCAACTCCCATGGATGACAATCTGAGTCTTTCCACTGACTGTACTGAGAGTTGGATCAAGTCCTAAAGAAATAGCCGGAGATTAAATGATAAAACCAATAATGGCAACACCACTTATACTGTTCATAATTCAGTTCCAAAGACAAGATTAATCAGGAAGTATAACAAGTTAGTCAATTGTCAATGAAATTTCAGAGTAATGGCAAGTTAATGGAATTAGCATAGTACCCCCCAATACCGCACATTGTCCAAGAGTACTTTTCTTCCTATCTCTGAGCCAAATATCCTCAGATCTACACTGCAAATCTTGACTTTCATGTTTCACTCTCCCCCACATGCTATACAAACACAGGAAAAGAGAAATTAACAGAGCTGAGGACCAAAGAGGAGCATTTCGCCCATCTTGTTTTACCTCCCTTCCCGGTCTGACTGGAGCACATAATCCACAGATAGCTCAGTTCATTTACTTATATAACTCTTGCTTCCAATTCTGTAAATTAAAGTGAAATCAAGCCCAAATGTGTATTCCGGTTCCACTTACCTATTACTCCATACAATTGTACTTTGTTACCAGTTATAAAGATAGATCCTACAGCTTTTGCATATACCAAGCCTGCCAGATGGAATCCATAATAATTTCTTTCCCCCAATTTGAAAACCAAACCCACAGCTATAGAATTGCTATGTAAACAGAGAGGCCTCAGAGATCAACTGTATTTTGTCCTGAGATGATAAACAAAGCTTTTGTACAACAGGTGATGTATTCTGTTGGATATGAAATGACATTTGATCAGAAACATTAACTATCCTGCCATTTCAGCCCTATGAAGAACAAAAATGGCTGCATATGATAAACCGTAATGAGATTTTATATTTGTACTGTACGTTTAAACTGAATGACCATGCTAATTTCAGTCCTCAGCCTTTCAGAGCACTAAAGAGGCTCACACTTGAGGAGAATTTCCATCAGAATGGCATATCCAACTTACGAATCAGTGGCTGATGGCGCTGTATAGAACCTTTAAATAAAAAGAATTTTGATCTCTTAACTGAGGTTTAGTGTGAAATTATTGTTTCTCTTTTTGTATCTAGCTTTCAGATCAGTTCATGTATAATTAAAGTCACTCTGCAGTAGGGTTTGTGGTGCTGCTAACCATACTCTGAACCGTACAAGTAGGATTGCTTTCATAGTTATCCATCAAAACACTGGAACAGTCTTTTTAGGTGAAACATAGCAGAGGTCTGTACAAATGGACTTAAAGAAATTTAAATTATCACAGGAGTTCAGGATCAAGGGACTTTCTACTAAAAGAAAACATTGAGAACCAGAATTGAAACATGCAGAAGAGAACAAAAAGGAAGCAGGGCTGGAAAGGGGGAGTGTAAGGAAGTGAACAGAGGAAGGAAACAAGCTCATTCCACCTGGCAGTGTCTTGGACAGATAATCAGAAAGGGGAAAGGGAAATCGACCCTTAAAGCTCCAATGCCTACATGTACTCACCAAGTGGAGGGAAGCCCCGAGCAGGGCTTGTATCTCGACTGCTCTCACGGCTGGTATCGCGGCTGCACCCCTGACTCATGCTGGGTCGGGGGATACGGCTGCTCCGTGCTAGCATGCAGCATGGAGAGTTTCAGAGAAGGTGAACAAGTTTAATGAGGACAGACAGCTTATCAAGGCAAGTCACATTTCTGTTAGTTAAGGTAATTATTACATTAGTAATTATCATCTGCTACAGCCACCTCAGGCTTTTCACAAACCAACTGTGTCACATGCTGAGCTGTGTTTTTAACTGGAAGTTTCAGCACCATTGAATGTCTGGCTGGCACAGTATGTTTGTCTCTCAGGCAATCCAAGCTTTGTAATTTGAGTAGAGCAGGAGATCTTCATTCATTTAAAAGAGTGGCTGAGCTCTACTGCTACAGAAGCATGCAAAACAGCTGAGGCTAAAAGAAACCTTTCTGGAAGAATATTTGCTTAATTACAAAAAAAAAACAGCCTTTTAGAAGAAGGGGGAAGCGTTTGTAACACGATCAGAATTTTTTTAAAAATTGTCACAAAAGAGAAAGCCATTTCTATGTGTGTTTGGGCTTTTGCAAGGATAGTTTTCTCATGATCAAATTTTTGGGGGAAAACAAGACATTGCAGTGTAGAGATTTACAGAGGTAAATTCCCCCTTGAAAGATACTGTGAATAGAGAGGGTTACAAAGCAGTTTTAATTTTAAGACAACATGGGTTTTAATGGTTTCTGTCCTTTTACCAAAAGCTGCTTAATTTTAATTGCCCAACATATCTAAAAACAGAAATACACTTCACAAAAGTCCTTGTCGTGCACTCCTTTCCCCAACAAAACTCTCATTGGGCCAGATTCTGATCTCAGGCACACTGATAATTCTGCTGATAATTCCACAGTCACTCCATTGAAGATGTATTGAGATCAGTAACCAAGATCAAAAAGTGGCCCACCAACGTCAGTGGGAGTTATGCCTGAATAAGGAGAGCAGGATTGGGCCCTTTGAGGGATACTTAACCTATCAGTTAAGAGTAAATTCTTGAACAATTTAAGTTCGGGGTAAAAAGTGAACAATAAAACTGCCTCATGTAAACCGTAACTGGATTATTCCTTTGTAAACTCTATTTTATTTGGATATGGTAGCAACATGCCAATGAGTCATAATTTATAAATTACTTCTACATAACAAAGAATGCACTGTATCACATTTGTACATGTAACAAAGAGAACCTGAATTACAATTAAGCTTTGTGAATTTATCTTGAAATAATTAATGACTGTACAGAGTCTTTTCACTGTACTAGTCTTTGGAAATGAGAGTAGCTACTTTTAAATGAGTAGTTAGGAAAGGCCCTGAAGGAACTGTTCACAGTGCCTGGACTAAAATCAGATCCTTTAGCTTTGTTTTGGATGGCCAGGCTGCAGAGCTGCACATACCTTAGTGCTGTCACCTACTCTGCCTGTTTGCTCCATCCTCAGTACTCAGCAGGATGTTCATATTTGCAAAAGTATGTCGTATGCATGCCTTTGAGTGCAGAGTCTTATAAATGTTTATAGTATACATACGTGAGGATAGTATAGTATCCTCACATATAGAAGAGGCTGGGGACAGTGCAAACAGAGCCACGGTAATAGAAAAATTACCATTCAGCACACTGGGACTATTTTGTAGAATCATCAAGGAATGTGATAATAAATTGAATATTTTTGCAGTCCTCGTTATTGAAGAACAGAATATTAGGGATGAGGAGGACAGAGTCAGAGAAAATAATCTGTTTTTATATGATCAGTTAAGTGCTGGGCCTTCAAAGTATCCCTTGACGTATAACAGAACAGGACAAAATAGAATCCTTCCCATATAGAGTAAGAAATTCAGATATAAACTGTTGCCAGATTCCTGGTTTCTCAATTCCCTTCCAGGTTTCCAAAACCTAACTCATACATCTGTTTGATGAATTAATGGTTCTGATGTCTGAACTCTGATGTTGAACAATACAAGATGAACTATAGACCAACTTGATAATAACACCACCATGCCCAGAAGCCAAGAAAGTTACGAAGGAGATAGAGAGGTGGTGTTATAATAAGTAGGATTATCATGGAGTGAATGAAATTAGGACCCAAAAATACAGACGCCTCAGATAAAAAAATATATAGGGCAGGAACAGGAAGCTTAAGAGTGAACTACGGGTGAAAAGGAAAACTCCCAAACGTAATCTACATGAGAAATACACTTACTTGGAACTATGGGGTTCTCTAAAAGTAGGACTGTTCACTCTTGGGTCACATGCTTACATGTAAATCTTGACAGCCTTCACATGGAGGTAGTTTGCACAGGCATCCATTTATCACAAACACTTTCATGAAATGTATTTTTCATCTGTCAGTCTTCTTCCTGGTTTAAGCACCCTAGGCCTAGCACATATTCTCAGTGTGATAGACGTGATCACTACAGAACGAATGATACAGGCAACACGTTTTTCTTTATTAACGGATTAAAAACCCTGCATGCAGTATGAGGCATTTGTACTCTTGGATATTACAAATCAAAAGAGAATACTGGGATGTGAGGCCACCCACTAGACACAATATCCAAGCAACCAGAAAACAACAACAACTTATATTCTGATTTCCTGATGTAATAATAATTTAAATAATTAAATACGAGACATGTATGCTGGTGGAGAGAGATATACACAAGGGAAACAGAATGAGCGACTGGAACAGAAGGACCACAGAAACGAAAAATGACATGAACTCCCAGGGATTTGCCTTGCAGTTCTCCATTGCCGTGAATAGGATCATTTTAGGTATAAGACAAATAGTGGCTGTACAAGATGCCACATTTCAGGGGTTGTCATGATTCAGAGGGGAGTCTGTCTGCAAGAAGAAGTCATCCAGACAGAAAGGTCAGACAGCCGGAAGGGTTGACTTCAGGATCCCATTCCAAAAAAATATGGACCACAACGCAGGCGGCCAGTTGGACAGAAGACAAGTTCCAAAATGAGGGAAAACTAAAGAGCCGGGGGAGACAAAATGATACGGGTGGATGGATGCAGAGAAAGAAAGCGGAATCTGCTATTTTGACTCAGGGGAAGTGGGGCCCTCTTAAAAAAAAAAAATCACTTTGGACACCACTGCATCTTATAGGCAGGCCCCCATGCAGGGCGTGGCATGAAGCCTGACCAGCCCAGTAGAATCTCCAAGAGACATGATAACTCACAAGGCACAGTACATCCCATGGGTGTCCATCAAAGAAAGGAAGGCATCCACTGCTACACCCCTGGCCAATAGGGAAGGGGAAAGAGGCCAGAAAAGGACTATGGCCCTGGTTCTGTGCCCCTTTGGTGGGCTAGCGCCACTACCACTACTAGCCACACAAAGTCTTTGCCCTCAGAGGAGCATAAAACCTGCCCTCGTGGATGGCCTCTGCATGGACTATCCTGGTGGTGGCGCAAGAGGAGATGAGCTCCTAGCATCTTCCCTCTCTTGCATACACAACACAGACCAGTCACAATCTGGCCCTAAATTACTTAGAAACCACACAAGTCAGTGGCTGAGCCAAGAATAGGACCCAGGAGTCCTAACTTCCAGGGCTCTAATGGTCTGATTTTTCAACACTAATGAACATCCAAGACAGCTGCAAGAGTTGGGCACATTTGAAAATCAAGCCATTTACTACTAAACACTTCCCTCAAAGCTAAGGCTCCGATTCAGCACAGCAGATAAGCATGTGAATAATGTTAAGCCTATGAGTAAGTCCCACTGTAACTACTCACTTGCTTAACATACTTAAGAACCTTCCTGAATCAAAGCCCGAGAGAGCCTATCAATAAGCGTAGGATGTACTGGATGGGAGGTGCTAGTTGATTAAATGGGCAGCTCTATGACTGGTGAGGGTAAAAAGGATCTGAGACTCTTAAGAAAGTAAAATATAAAATAATTTAACAACCAAAACACAGAGTAATTAATACCTGGGGAAGAGGTTGCAAAGAGGACTGTGCGATCTTAAAGTTTAAGTTTCAAAATATAACTCAATCCAAACAAATGTTATTGCTTTGTCTAGTGTCTAGTTTTTTTAAAGGTCCAATAAAGCTGCAGAGTTTCTACATTTGAGTATTAAACCAATACAAAACTCAAAAAACACCCTGATTCCAATGACAGCCCAAAAGAATAGGCTTCAACCATCAACCCGGAAGGAAAGAAAAGACTGACAGATTTGATAGAGTCCTCACACTCCCAAGGAACAAGAACTGATGATTTTTGCAGGGGAGGCATATAAAAGTGACGGGATATAAGTTACACTTTTATAGGAAATTCTCCAAGGCTCCCATAATTTAGTTGAATGCACACAACCCAAGAGTGATTTATGCAAAATAAATTCCCTTCAGATAATAAGGACTGTTTCAAAATAGTCCATGTAACATGATTATCAGCATAAACATGGTAATATCAGAGTTTGTTTCATTTTAACGGACAATACCAGTTTGCAGAATGACAGTAGAATAGTTAACTTCAGTAAGTAAGGGGGCAGCTTGGATTTTAAAAACACTAACAAAAAAGCACAATATATTTATACAGACATAATAAAAATAGATAACATCAGAGGAGAAGAAATTTTAATTTTGCAACATATTCACCATAAATAATGTAAAATTTAATGGATCATAATTCAGGATATACTCAGAGAGACCTAAGATCATTTCAATAAATCTGAAATATAAATAAATAAGGAGTACTTCTATGTTGACATCTAATATGCTATACACTGAGCACTGGGCTTAAATTTAAAAGCTGATGGCTAAAATCCTAGCCCTATTGAAGCCAATGGCAAAAACTCATTTACTTCAACAAGGCTACAACTTCACACAATGAGTTTAGCTGCAACTTCTTATAAGCTCTGTAAAACTATATTATCCTTTTTTTAATGAAAAAATCATTTCTAAGAATTTCTTTTCCCGTGTAAACTTTGGTTAATTTCTGCAAATACTCACATTAGCGGCACTAAGTATAGCTTTGGCTTGTCCACAGAACATATACAGAGAATCATTTCTGCTTTCATTCAAAAGGACAGCTGTGTTTGTGAACATCTCTGGAATAATGCTTGTTCAACTGATTTAAACCGAATTAGAGAGATCACTGGTAAATTTGAAAATAAAAGTGCATACAGAATATTTATACAACAGCCAATGTGTCTCCACATAGACATAAATATTTGTGAGCAAAATACTTAGCATGTGAATCTAAAACGCAATCTAATAAAAGACTCCAGGATGTATGAGGTGATGCACATAAACCGTTCATCGTGCCATATTTCCCAAAACAGGTCCCAATCCTGCAAGGTGCTGAGTGCCCTCTGACTTCAATCAATTCCCAGAGATTTCAGCCGGAGGGTGTTCAGCATTTCACAGGAGTTGCTCAGCTCCTCGCAGGATTGGGCCATACAGTTGTATTTAAGCGTGAGATTTTTGCAATGGTGGGCTTTCCCCTTCACTTAATTCTTTCTTCATCCTGATTCAGAAATAACAAAGATGATGCCACAATTTCAAACAGAAGGCACCATACACTCTTTTGACCCACTCTGAAAACAGATATCAACAAGGAAAATTAAAATGACGTTTTAAAAACTCAGTACTGCCAGCCATGAGTCTGTCCCAAACCCTTGTGAGGGGCCTGAGCATCCACTAGGGGGTTTCCCTCCAGCTTCTCCTGCCCAATTCGCCCCACACCCAGGGCCCAACATAGCTGGTAACTCATTCACCTGCAGCAGGTGATGCCCTGCAAGGGCAGCTAATGGCTCTTGTCTCAGACCTTCCCAGAGGCATTGAACAGCGAGTGACAAGCACCCTGCATGTGACCTCACTGGTGAGCTTCCTTCTGACTACTGAATCACTAATAATGTTTCCTCACATTGAAATTAATTTAATAATTTAAGGATTCAAAAGTGCATGATGGTAAAATGCAGTCATGTAGTTTTCTTGTTAGCATGAATTACCTTCCCTTGGGCAAGCTGGTCAAGATGTCATGTCGGTGAGAATTCTTACCTAGTCCTATTCTGTTGGGGCTTGTCTCTCGGCTGCATCCCTGACTTCGAGGGATCTTGCTGCGTTTCTCTGAGGATGATGGCACTGGTGGGACTCTGGCTGTTCCACTGGTCAGTCCACCGTATGCACTTCCCAACAGCTTGCCAGGGGAACTAGACCGGCTGCCAGCTACAAAGGAACCAGAAGTAAGGAAGCATGATAAATCTTTTGGACAATTCAAGACAGGGATTTTAATCATTTTTAAACAGGGCCTGAAATAAAGAGGGCTCCATCTAAGAGACTGATCCAAAGCCTGCTGAAGTTAAAGTAAGTCTTTCCATGGGCTTTGGCTCAGGCCCTACACAATACACAACTCAACAATTGGGCTTGTATTATTCAGCCTGTCTGGCCAGTGCATCTAAAGAACAAATTTTTAGATAAAATAATCCAGTGGGGGAAAATTAAGAACCCCATCTCAACAACAGAATTCTAGTAGATTAAGATGATAAATGACCCAATCATATATAGCCTGTGGATACGTCACCACAGCTGGTCATCACAAACATTTACTTTGTATATGTGTTTGACTGGTTAAAATTAAATTGCTTAGCTGTAAGTTTGCAGCTGGGTGAACTATTTGTAACATATAGCAATATCTGGTCAATTTTGTCTGTTCTTGTCTGTTTGAATTGTCCATGAACAGATCACATTTTTCTAGACTCTGATCTGTGCAAACGGCCTACTGACCAAGATTTATTCACACAGAGTATTCAAGCTGTTCATTAGTTAATATTTGAAATCTGAGCTGCATTTGGCATTTCTGACTGGACACATGGTTTCCACGGTATGTTTCTGTTGTCTGGTTGGATCTAAGAAACTCATAGAATCAAGTTTTGGGTGGGAATGCTCATGTTTTCAAACTCAAAGTTTATTCTCCCTGATGTTTGCTTAAAGCTAAGCACAAAGGATTTTAAAAGAACTGGACTTGGGACCCTTTTTGCTTCCTTAGCTGTATAAAGATGACCTTGAAAATATGCTGTAGCTGTGAGCTCTACTGTCAATAAACTTGTTTGCTAGAATATCCAGGGAAAGTACTTCTGAAAGGCATGCAAAGAATCAAACAAGTATAACATTTTGAACAATATTCATGGGTTGTTGTTTTTTAAATATTTTATATATATCCAGCTCTAACCATTTCCATCAGAAGATTAATTCACACAACTAATAATAGATGAGACAGAAATTGATCTGGAGTCTCTAGTCTAAAAGTTTACACAACTTTATTAGTTGATAGAAAAATACTTGAAACGTCAGAGTTACATTATAAACTTACCTGCCCTTTCCTATTCTCTGCAGGGTGACATTTTGCGAAGATTGAAGCTCTGAAGTCATGTATTGCCCCCCACAACCACCACCACAACATATGGCACTGGGAGTGCGCCAAAGCTCTGAACATTTGTGACTGATTTTAATCACATGTACCTCCTCTTTTACACTAATGCAGCACTCTGAAGGCCAAATACTCCTCCAAGTTACACTGGTGTGATTCCACTTCAAAGGGGTTGAACTGATATAGAACAATTTGACATCTAGGGTTTAAATCGCAGGATCTTCTTCCTACAGTAACTTCACAAAGGGGTGCCCTCATTACACAGAACGTATGTTTATCACATTAATTATCATGGAAAAGCTGAAGTGATCACAATACAAATCTGACATTTTGATTTTACTTTAAAAACATGCCTTTTCAACCTCCCACAGTGAATAATGTGGTGGGGGACCCGAGATGTTGAAATAGTTAACAACTGTGAACAAGAGAGCACATGAGAAAGAGACCGTGAGAAACGGAAAATGTTTCTTACCACCAGCAGGATTAGCTGATCTGGATCCTTGTTTATGAGAGCATATCAAAGGACAGGCAAAAAGTGGATTAAAAGACAGTAAGACAATACAGAGTTCAGCATGCATTATGTTATACATAATGTGAACTGATTTATTTACAAACATACACTACTCCTAAGCCTCTGCAAAATACAGTGAGTTAATGTGCTGATAAGTAGCTGGGCCCAACTTGCGTACATTTTTCCACTGCCACTTAATTTCTCTAGGCTCATAAATTTCTTTGAGTGAAGACAATCATCTATGGTGGGCCAAATTCTCCCTGACTTACAGCTGGGCTACTCTGAAAAAGGCAACAGGGTTGCCCAGCACGTGAGTCAGAGGAGAATTTGGCCCTATATCTGTATTACATTTGCACTCTAGAGTGGTTTATTTCATGCAGAGGTTGGCCTAAGAGATGGTGTTCAGATCTGGGTTTGGCTGGCGTTGCGATTTGATGCCAAACTAGGGTTAGGGATCGGGTTTAGATTTGACTGCCTTGAAGCTGCACAAGCCATTCCTGAGAGATTTCAGCACCAAATGGGAGAAACCTTGAGAGATCAGCTGATCTAATAAGATTTCCACCATCGTGAACTGAAATCCTTCTTGAGATATTTCAGCTTCATCTGAACCGGAATCAGGAAAAAGGTCATTTCCTGCTTGGACTGGACATGGATCCAAAGCCATTGAGGTGGGTTTGGATCTCTGCATCCAAATCCCAGACTATCACCACAATAGTATGAAGGTGTTCAAGGCCTGAGGTTTTCTGTTTGAAACCATCTCCAATATAATGACTTTAAAACTGTTCCCTCCTCCCTCTAGCCTGACATTCAGTGAAGAAGTGACACCATGAACAGAGCAGACATTTTTCAGTGAGGCTGCAAAGCAAGACTAGTCCTCATAACAAAGAGTCCTCTTCCCACCTTCCCACACAAACTTAAGATTCCTCAGTCTATGAAGAGGCACTTCCTCTCCTTGGAAACATGCTCCCCATATGCAAACCTTCTGAGTTCTGGGTCAAAATTCTCCTCTCAGATCCATATGGCAGATATTCTGCTCTCCCTTCATGGGGGAATCATGCCATGCAACCGGAACTTCAGAGCCAGGATATGCCATGTGGATCAGAGAGCACATCTTTTCCTCCTAAATCTATGTAGGATTTTACACATTAACTTAGACAGCTCATTCTTAACACATATGGAGATGAGATAATATAAGCAAAAGAAGCTTGGGAGAACAAGAACCCAACAGACAGTAGCAGGCTGGAGATACAAGGAAGGTGTCTCACTAAGTTGTACTTTACAGAAGTCCAATATATATTATCTAGTCTGATATATAGTAACAAACTTTACATGACTGGAATTTTTTGGTTGTGCTGTGCAATGAACAGAAAAACAGCAATTTCTATGCTTAAGTATTTAAATCTCAGGCCCTATTATTTAACGACGACTTGGACTGTGAGCTCTTTGGGGCTGACTGTCTTTCTGTGATATGTGCATGCAGTGCCTAGCACAACGGGGCCCCATTCTTGGCTGGGGCCCTCAGGCTCTGCCACAATACAAATAAGAGATAATATTAATAAATATAGCTCCTTCCCATCCCTTAAAAGAAAAGCTTCTTACGCTGGGACTGTGAAACTACTTTAGCACGGCTGCGGCCTCGGGTATCGGCAGGCGTTGAGGTAACACTTGTGGCACTTCCAGAGCTTTGCCTCCTCGTACGGATCCGACCTGGGGAATGCAAAGAAAAGTGGAATGTTAGCAGCTTGGCCCAAGGGGAAACTTTGCTGTGGCTTCTAACTTGCTGTCTGTTCTATATTGAATTTTTTTTTTGCAAAAGTAACAACGATAAGAAATGAATTCCCTGGAGTGGCACTTGCAGTTTAAAACACAATCAAAATTGTTTTTGACAAGAAGGAACAAAGTTGCTAATATGGGCATAACAGGTGCACCCAGAAAATCTCACATTTGGGCACCAATGCTTTCGTACCCCTATCTACGCTTGCAAACAAGCATGCATCAGTGACAGATTTTGCTAACACCACCTGGCCATATGTATTTGTCTCAGGTGTGCCCATTATGCTCATGTTGGAAAAGTCATCTCTAAGAGTTACCCCTGGTATATATAAATTCAGCATATTTACCCCCCAAGTTAGTGCAGCTTTAATTGTAATGGAGAGTCCCATGCAATGCAATCAATGCTGTGCGAGAAATCCTGTACCTGCCCTTTATTTTTTTAAGCAAAGAATTGGTATAAAGTTTCTTGTTCAGAGTCCTTTTTATTTCTCCCTCACAGAAATTTTAGCTGGAAAAGACCCATTAGTTTGTTCAGTGCATGTCCCTGCTTGGTCAGGGCTGTTCCCGACAGTATGTTCTTTCCAATGCTTGGACACAATTATGAGTCTTTAGTTGCTAGAAAAGGAATGATGATTAAGACCAACAAAAAGAAAACCTCTGTCCGTACTTTTCAACACCTCCGTTCTCAGCCAAACTTGAAACAGTCCTGGGACTGATGCCAGTACCAACACTGCATTCAGAGAACAAGTTCAAGTTTCAGGCATGATAATCAGAGGAAATAAAGAGGCATGTAAAAGATTACACATTCTGGACAATGTCATCCACTGATCACATAAATCTGTCGCCACTGTTGTTGGTATCGAACATTTACATGGTACCATAAATGTAACTGGGGCATTACAAACACAGATAGATGCACACTTCCTGCCCTGAAGAGCTCACACTTCCTATGAGACAAGACCAATGCACACAGGACAAGACAGAGGTCGGTAGTTTGGGATTGACTGAACAGACTGACAGCTATGTTTTTTCTGTCAGAGCTCTCAGAACACTGGTAACATGGCTGGAAAACACTTCTGATAAGCCTGCCAGACAGTATTTCTAACAGGAAACTTCAATTTCAGAGGAAAAACAAACATAAGAACAGGTTCAGATTTGGAGATGAGAAGTGAGAAACATGGGTTGAATCTGAATTTAGAATACATGTATTTTCAGTGTCCTGTTTTAAAAACAATAGCTAAGTAGGCTTCGGAATTTACAGAGATTTTCCCATTGAAAAAATATTTCTAGACTTGGCACAGTAGAAATGCTGGGTCAGATTCTCTACAGCATTGCAGCCCCTAAGCACTGCTCAGGAAAAGGGGCCAATATCCAATCACCACTGCCCAGAAGAGAGTTCCTTTTGGTGGGTGTAAATATAGTGATCCGGGTCTGTATCTGCTGCCTTGCTCCCCATCTAGCACAGGAGGGGGATGCGTCAGAGGGGAGTAGGGGACATGGCAGAACGCTGCTGTGCTATCCCTATCCCGGTGTAAGTTCCATTAAAGAGCGAACATCAGTGGTGGAACTGGCAGCAGCTCAGAGCATCACGTGGCTGGGACTAGCCCCAGCTTCCTGTCACTTCCTCTGCACCCAGGAGAGCTCCAGCACAAGAGAATATCTAGCCCCGTATGTTCCCTGCCTCAATGTGGTAAATTCTATGCTGACTTATATCCCACTGATTTTGGTGGGTTTGCACAATTTGTGCAAAATTTGGCATGCAGGCTGTGCTCTATTTCTAGACTTCAGTGGCAGCAGCAGTACTGTGTGTGAAGAAAAAAAAAGTGAGGGTGACACAGGCCCATATCGTATCTTAGGAGGTGGCAACTCCATACAAGAGTTTAATCCGTTCTATCTTATCCTTCAAACTTTTTGAGATACTGATGGAAAGGACTGAGAACTGTACAAAGTACCGGATGGCAACTGTGCTGATAAGCTGGAATTCAACGCCTAAACTGTAACGGATTTCACAGGGAAATAGCATCAGTAACCTGTATGTGCTAGAGGTCAGCCTGCCCTGACAGTACGGATAAGATGGAAGGAGTCTGACATTTTCCTTTTGCGTGCACTCCCCACTTTTTTCAGTTCAAGGTCCCGGAATTTTTCTGTTCCTCCTATGTCTGATAAAATAAGAAATTGATTTCTTAAACAGCAGAAGGAAATCGGAACTAACTGTAATAAACAATTGTTCTACATTTATAAAACACAAGGCTAAACTCCAAGACATCAAGATGTTCCTGCAGAGGAACCAAGATATCATTTTTCTTTTTAAATGCCAGCCCCATTAAGTAGGAGGGAAAGAGTTAGAGGAACAGAACACAAATGTCAAAATAAATCAGTGCATGTTTGTTTCCAGCCATGCTAATAAAGCATTCAGGCCCAATCCAATGCCTTTTGAAGTTAATGATAAGACTTCCCTGGGCTTTGAATCAGGGCTTCTAAGTAAAAGTCTGCCTTCTGTTTTGCTTGGCAGATCTCAACACTGATATCTGGTCTTTCTACCATGCACAAAATTCTTGCTGAATTCAGTGGGGGTTCCTCACATGTTGGGGGAGAGATATCAACACTGAGAATGGCCACCTTGATCTGAGAGCAGAGTTTTATCCTTATTTTAGTAATAGGACTTAAATTTTCTCATCCTCTTAAACAGGCACTGTATTTGTAACTGAGCATGTAACTGTATTGAAAGACAAGCAGATGTCCCACCACCATGCAAGTGAGATTGCGGTTACCTAATCCACAAACGTGTGGCATTCTCCCCATTTCCATATGCTTGCCTGACATGGTGCAAGCCCAGCAACTGATGAGAACTAAATTAATTTCAAGCATTGCAGAGTTGTGACTCCAAGCATAACACGATGCTATCCCATCTTTGTTCCATGATACTGTGCCATTATATGAAAGCACTGAAAACTCATCTCCCATTGACACATAATGATGATATAAGGGTAGATATATCATACCGTTATGATAACAGGTCACTCTGGGATTATTTTGTCCCAGACCATTTCTATTGAATCATATGAAATGGCAGAAAACTTAACACAGAGGTTGCCCAGTGATGGCTTGTGCCCTTCTGGAACAATGAGTTCAGCAAAATTCAAACATCTGAAAACTGGGAAATACAGAGTGAAGTGAAAGACTCATGCAACCTTAACTCTGGAGCTGACAATGGCCCTGGGAATTACCTCCACGCACTCTAGCTGCATTCACTGTGTTATGTATCACTGCATTCAATGGTGGAGGAAGAAGTTGGAGCAGCTTGGAAGAGCTGTGCTTGTGACATGAGACGATCTCGCTCTGAGTCCCCACAGGTGATTATCAAATGAAAGAGGTACCAGTGTGCCTTGCGGTTCCAGTCTGCATCATTTCAATACAGAATTGTGTAGGTCTTGTCAGTAGCAGGGCCCTGGGGGCTTCTTGCCATGGGTGTTGTCAGTAGTGAGGTGGGATATAAGAGCAGTCTGTGGATTCAATGATGGGTATGGGAAAGTTTAGGTTTAAGTGCTATCCTGTGAGCTAGTGTGAAGGGGTTAGGAAAGGGTATAAAGCAGTAGTTACATTTTACAAGGGTGGTATTCTGTCTGGGGAGCAGGCTGACCGTTCGAACACAGGGCAAGTGCAGGTAGTACCTGTCCATTAGTGAAAAGACCAAGTGGGAGTGTGCATGTTAGTGGGGCACCACCCAAAGAGAGCAGAGTTAAGGTTCTGGGGGCATTTCCCTTAACTCTGTACTTCCTGGTTTTCAGAAATGTGAGTTGAAGAGGAGCAGGGTCCCCAAGATCCCGGAAAGCACAGTGGGCAGGGACAGGGGTTCAGAGCACTGCAGAGGGGTAGGGCTCCCCCAGATCCCAACATACACACGGAAGGGGTGAATTCAGGGCTAGCAAACCCCTCCATTCCTAAACTCCCATCTTCCTCTGCTACCCCTCACATTCTCCAACCCCTTGTATCTTCTCCTCCCCCAACCCCTACTCTCTTCCCCCTTACCTAAGCCCTCCAAACCCTTCCCTCCCCTTCCACACATTGCCATTTATCCCCCTCACAATGCCCCCATCCTTTGCTGCAGACCCAGACCTATCTTCCTCTACTACCGCCTACCCTTGCCCCCCAATCACCCTTTCCCTCACAGTCAGTATTCATGTGTGCAATTTATTTTCTTTTCAAAAAATAGTTTCAGCACCTTCTGAATATTTTGCTATACTCAGATTACGTTTCTGAAAAATAAAATATAATAATAAACTAACTAACAAAACAAACCCAAACGCCTTGACATAGGCAGATTTTCCCCTAAAGTTTACAGTTCATTCTCAGATTTCTGCCCAGGGTGGCTTTCAGAATTCAAACTTGCTAGAATCTGTGAATTTAACAAAATGCAGGTTTTTTCCTGGGGCTGTATCATGGGAACTCCTTGCTCAGCTGTCCTCACATTTGAATCACTAACCCCAGACTACGCTCCCATGAGGCACAGCAAATTTCAAGAACCCGCACAAGCACATGGACATCAGAGCACTAAGGAGTCCTCCTTTGGGACTTCCCGTCCTTAGCTAGAACAGAGCTGGGGCTCCATTATAATATTTTATAAAATGAGAGGGAGAATGGAGGGGACAGGCACTCATCTCCATCAGCACCACAGCAGGCTCAGAGGGGTGTTAAGTGGCCCTTCATCTCAATGAGATGTTCTCAGCAGAAAGAAGAAAAGGAGTACTTGTGGCACCTTAGAGACTAACACATTTATTTGCATCCGATGAAGTGAGCTGTAGCTCATGAACGCTTATGCTCAAATAAATTGGTTAGTCTCTAAGGTGCCACAAGTACTCCTTTTCTTTTTGCGGATACAGACTAACAAGGCTGCTACTCTGAAATCAGCAGAAAGAGAATACCTCATGGAGATG